TGCCATACACTGTTCCTCTCAAATTGATGGAGTTCTTCTTGCATAGCTGTAATTCAATCAGCATCTTTTAATGCTTCCTTGATATTATTGGGCTCAATTTGAGAGAGAAAAGCTGAGAAGACAAGCGCATTTGTTGCCATTAATATGGTTTGAATTCCTGAATCAAGAGGAGTGATCACATTTTCCAGAGGATTTGAACTTTTGTGTTTCCAGTTAGACACCCGAATCTTGTTATGGGATAGTCCAGGTATTTCTGAATGTGGGGTCCCTTGATCTGCATCAGTAACTCTGTTTTCAGCTTCAGTTGTTGTGATTGAGGAACCGGGTTACTCTATGTCAGCTGGAGATTCATCTGTGCCATTGTCATTTGAATCCTTGACCTGACTCATCGTGTTAGTTTTTCCATTTGCCATGTCAATGACTTCACCAGGGAGAGTTGACTGCTCTCCCACTTGATCAATCTTATCATGTGAATCCTTCCCACATGAGTGATGAGATTCATCAAAGATCACATGTATACTTTCCTCAACACATTGTATCGCACACTTTGTGATCCTTGAAGCTTGAGTTGGGCAGGCCATGAACCAGGTCCTTCTTGACCAACTTGTTTAGCAACGTAAAACTTGCATGACTCATCCTTATGTTCCATAATTCAGAATCATCATCAACAACACTTAGACAGCTGAGATCACCATTCTTGTTTCCCTTGTCACAAATTTGGAGACACTTAACAGGTTGTACTTCAATCCATTCACGTAGTACATATTTTCAAGTGAGTGAGAAAGAGACTTCCCAATTCTTCCAATTCCTAGAATGTATCCCTTTTTGCCATTTCTAAAGGATACACTCCCTCCTTGCAGGGCTTTGAGTGAAAGAAAATCATTTGTGCTTCCAGTCATGTGCTTCGAGCAGCCACTATCCATGTATCATTGTTGGCTGCTCCCTTTCACTGCTCCCTGCACAAGGAAATCAAGGGTTAGACTCAGGAACCCAAATAAGTTTGGGTCCCTTGCAATGAGAAAAGGGATGAATCAGGACCTTCTTGGTCCAAGCAGGCATCACATGAGTTTTATATAAGGGACCAGGTTCTATAACAGTAGTTATCTTTTTAGCAAAAACTTTGTTTTTCTGTTGAGACTGAAACTTGGCCTTACAGGTTTCCTTAAAGTGCCCAGTGTTGCCACAATGATTGCAAAGCCAGTTATCAGGTACAGTAACATACTTGATATGAGGGTTGTAAGGAGTCTTTTCCCTTTGGAACCCTATCCCTTGCCTGTTTCCCCCATTGTTTTTGTACAAGGCAGTGATAGCATCAGAGAACCAGGTCCACTTGAGTGATTTTTCTAGATCATTCTTAACTCTGCCTAGATCTTCCTGAAGTTGTCTGTTTCTCTCAAGTTCGGCACATAGACTAGATTTCACTGATTTTAGCTCATCTTCAAGCCTAAGGTGTGCCTCACTTGCAACTTTCTTTCCCTTTTGGGTAATCTCATGCCTACCTTCCCTTTTTAGTTCCTTAATTATTTCCTTTAGGTCCACGGCTACTACTAATAGGTCATCTCTCTCATGCTCTATGTTTGCAATTCTCTCAGTCAAAGTATCTTTTTCCCTTTTTAAACTCTCAATGGTCTCTCTTTGATCAACCGCAACCACCACTAGATCATCTCTCTCGTGTTCTATTTCTCCTAGTTTCGTGGTTAGAGCATTTTTATCATTAATGAGACTGTGATAAGCATCAATTAAAATATTAGCCAAAGATATAAGCTTCTTTTGAGAATAGGATTTCAAATTTCTTTGAACATCCAGAAAGTTTACCTCATCTTCATCGTCATCTTCATCATCATCAGATTGTGCCATTAGGGCAAAAGTAGAGTCATATTCAGTTGCTTCACTTTCTACTGCCATCATGGAGCTGTCACCTTTGTCATCACCTTCGCCATATTCACTTGAGGAGTCTCCCCATGCAGCAAGAGCTTGTTTCACAACGTTGTCGGTAGCATCTTTTCTTTTGAATCGTTTGTCAGGAACCTGGTTCCTCTTAGCTGCTTTGTCTGAGTTGTGTTTGTACTGATCTTGCTTGAGGAGAAGACAATCTTTGATGAAGTGCCCTGACTTCCCATACTTATGATATAAGTCATAGCCTCTTGGCTTGCTAGAGCTGCCCTTCTTTGGAATACCTCCATTTTTGTGGACCATCTTCTGAAATCTCTTTGTCAAGTAAGCCATATCAGCATCCTCACCACTTGATTCATTGTTGTCTATCTTGAGGACCAGGTTCTTCTCCCTTTTGGGCTCTCTTCTCTCATGATCTTTTTTCTTCTTCATTTCATACGTTTTCAGATTACCAATGAGTTCATTAATGGTCAGCTTCTGCAAATCTTTTGCTTATGTGATGCCATTTACCTTGCTTTCCCAGGAACCAGGTAATGCACTAAGTAGTTTCCTGACAAGTTTGTTCCTAGGAATGATTTCTCCCAGTGAGTGAAGCTCATTGATGATAGAGGTGAAGCGAGTGTGCATGTCCTGAATGGACTCATCGTCCTTCATTCTTAAGAGCTCATACTCAGTTGTCAACATGTTGATCTTCGACTGCTTGACTTGAGTTGTCCCTTCGTGTGCTGTTTGAAGAGCTTCTCAGATCTCCTTAGCACTCTGACAAGCTGAGATGCGGTTGTATTCATCTGGTCCGATGCCACAAACAAGAATCTTTTTTGCCCTGAAATTCTTCTCAATAGCCTTCCTGTCAGCATCGTTGTACTCTTTTTTCGTTTTTGGGATTGTAGTTGTTCCCTCATCAACAGTTTTCATGGGAACAAAAGGTCCATCAAAGATTACGTCCCACAACTCTGAGTCCTCAGCCATGATGAAATCATGCATTCTTGTTTTTCACCAACCATAATATTGGTCGTTGAATCTAGGTGGTCTGTACGTTGATTGTCCTTCCTCGAAGTTTGGTGGAGCAGCCATGATGAAGATCCTTTCTAGGTATTAACCTTTTAGAAAGAACCTGCTCTGATACCAATTGATAGAATTTAATAGTCCACCAAACTATATAGAGAACCAGGTTCTCTATTAGTTCCCACAGAACACACGCATACTGCACTAGGTAAATGAGTCAAAGAAGTTTTACGTGAAAAACTCCCAGCTCACGGGATTAAAAATCACGACCTACCCTTCTAGGATTTCAACTTCACTACTGAGCAAATTTTAGATTACAATCTATTGTAACCTAGGAATTAACCACTTAATCCCTCACTAACTTGTAACAACTCTATTTACAAGCCATTTTGTAATAACTCTATTACAAAGACTTTACAACTCGACTAACTCTAGCCAAGACACAAACACAAGGGTTTATGATTTACAAACGTTTCCTACACAATGCTTCTAACTAAGCTAAGTAGGAATTATAAGTAAAGAACTTTAACAAAGGTGCAATACAACTAGGGATATGTAATGACTCAATACATGAAGCTGGTCCTTTGTTATGTTGTTCTTTGTTCTTGATGCCCTTGAGAATCACTTGCAAGATTGGCACAGACTTGAGAGAAAATGCCTGATCAATTCTTGAATGTGCAAGTATTTTGTTTTACCTTTGCTTGATGTTAATAACTCATTTGTGACATCACTTGAATGATGCAAGCAAGTTAGGTAAAGGGCATTCCCCATAAAGTTGACTGATGCACTGTTTTTACACTGTTGCGTGTGCAGGCAGCAACTTTACAACTGTGGGGAGTTGACTGGGTATGGTCACTAGGGGAACTGCTGTTCCATCTGTTCCCTTTGTTGTTTCTTTGTCGTCTGAGGAGTTGATTTACATCTCCAGCTTGAGACTTGTTATTCCCACATACTTGAGAGTGTGTATCAGATTCCTTATCTGGTTCTTGTCATTAAGTTTGTTAGATTATCAAAACATTACAAGGTACATATAACCTATCAAAAAGTATATCCAATATCTTAATCTAAACATAATATTCAATTACAATTCCTTAAAAGTAATACCCTCAATTTAACTCAATATTAGATTCAGTTTTGTACGCTAGTACTTTGATTCTAAAGATAGTAACCAAATAGTAAAGTCAGAATCTATATTATTTAAAAAATTGAGATTTGTACAGTGCATCAAACAAAAAGTGACGTGCCATGGATTCCCACTGATGCAGCGTAAATACATAAGTATTCATTGTTAAAATTTCAATATTACACTCAAGTTAGTCATTACCATAATAATTCCTTCCATCATTATGTCTCATAATCATTATCCATATATTACATCACTCCACTTTTATTGAATTGGTTGCGGTAGGTAAAGATTAGATATATGCATACCTTGTAACTTGGAGTCTTTTATAAGGATTTCTGCACAGTAATTGGTACAAGTTGTCTGGCTTCTAATGCAGGTTGCCGAAGACAGTATTTTCCCCCATATTGTCTACTGCTAATATTCTTTCTCAAAAACCTAACTGTAAATATATATTCTAACCCCTGAAGTCTTAAAAGTAGCCGCATAAGATATGGGCTTAAAGCCCACTTCGTTTATCCATATTATTTAAAATTACTACCTTGCTAATTAGCATGCGTAATTATAAAATAGGCCCACTAGCTATTTATTCAGCTATCTTATATATTGTAATCTATTATTTTCTATTAGCTTAGTACTTCTTCAACAACTACAAAATAAATTAATTTTCTAGTCTCATAATTTAATAAGTATATAAAAAAAATAATTTGGGTTATTACAGCTTAGGACTTGAATGAAACAAGTGGGCACCATAGGAGCGTTGGATTAGATTATACAGATTTTCATCATGACCGTTCATTTAATAGAAAAGATAGAGTTGAGAGATTAGATTCTCTGGACACGTGACAGAAGTTTGTTACACAGCATTGTATTTAGTAGTGTATCGAAGGTTCTTTTATGTTATTTTTAGTCCAATAGAGAATAGACAAGTGTATAGCTATTTATTTATTTTCTAGTTAGATACATGTATAAATACATATAGCATCAGAAAATTTCTCTCAATTCAATCTCTAGTTTTTATTTTTCACATGGTATCAGTCGCCATCTACATCTTATTTTTTTTTCCAGGTCTCTTTCCTCTTCGTTTTTGTTTTCTTTCTCCCATCAATCCAAATGGTTACTACTAGTGACTCTGCTACTCTCTCTGTTACTACCAGTGATGCTTCTTCCGTCCATGGCAGTTCAGGCTCTTTGGATCCTAGCCACCCTTACTTTCTCCACCCTTCTTGTCCCAATTGTTTATATTTTCTCTTTTTCCAAAAAAAAGATTCTATATTCACAACAATATTCATGCACAGCTCGAACAACCAACCACGTGTCATCTTCTCAGCAACACTAAATTAAAAATGTCAGTGACCCCTGCACTTCCATTTCCAGCCATTTCAGTCCCCAGAAACATAAAATTCCGTCACCTAAAAACCCAAACACTCTTCGTAATAAGATCCTCGTCTTCTCACCCGCCGTCAATGAACACTCCACAACCGAAAAAGGTGGCGGTCTGCGGCGGTGGAGTCATCGGAGTTTGCACCGCCTACTTCCTATCAAAAAAAGGCGCCGCAGTTACCCTAATCGAGCAATCCTCTGTCGCCTGCGCCGCCTCTGGCAAGGCCGGAGGTTTCCTAGCCCTAGATTGGTGCGACGGCGGTCCCCTCGCGCCACTCGCACGCGCCAGCTTCAATCTTCATCGCTCGCTCGCTGAAGAGCTTGATGGGCCCAACTCCTACGGCTATCGTCCACTCACTACCCTTAGTGTCTCCGTCACCGAATCATCATCTTCTTCTTCTTCGTCGAATCGAACTGGGCCGCTTCCTTCTTGGGTTAACGGCCCAGCTAAAAGCCCAAGAACTATTGGATCAACTAATAGCACGGCCCAAGTCCATCCACAGCTCTTTACTAAAAAATTATTATCCAAAGCAGTAGAGGAATATGGGGTTGAGCTGGTAATTGGTAGAGCAGAGAGAGTTGAAATGGTGGAGGGGAAAACGAAGGGAATTGTATTGGAAGATGGGAGAGAGATTTTGGCAGATGCAGTTGTGTTGGCACTTGGGCCTTGGACCAAGAGATTCTCTCTTTTGGGTTCACTTTTCGGGATTTATGGAATCAAAGCCCATAGTATAGTGCTGGAACCTAAAGAGCCGAATACGATCACGCCACATGCCTTGTTTCTTACTTATTATCCGGCCCATGGTGGGAAGCCCATGGACCCGGAAGTTTATCCTCGTCCAACAGGTACTTCAGTTTTTACAGTTTGAACAATTATCATATTCAAGTACTAGATATATATAACATGAGCCTGATGTGTGTTCTAAATTATTTTTGTAATAGACTACATAAGAAAAGAGTAATTTTTGTTTTAAAATGTTTAAAAATTGTTGAATCCCCTGATAGTTAAGTGTCTGCTCTCTGTGCAAATTTGCTTTTTCTCAAACCATTTTGCTAGAATTCCAGGCTCCCTGTCTCCAATGTCACATTGTTATGTAAAGAAGTGTAGTATAGGCTTCCGTCTGTATGCTCGTATAATAGATAAGGTTAGAGTACCAAAAAGTAAGGTAAATTAATTTTTCTGGTGATTAGAGATAACGATGAGCTAATTCGTGGATATGTATATAATTGCGTATAGCTTTCTCTAGATAGTCGCATGCTATATATTACCTATGTACTACCTGCCGTATACAGTAAGATTTTATTGGTCCAATGTTGATCCCTTTTCTTGGCTGGATCATTTTTGTCCAGAAATGTACCTCATATTACCGTTGAAACTATTCCATAGTTCTGGTTTCCGTGAACATAGCTGAGAAGCATGAAACAGATCTCCCCTTTATCTTTATTCCTTTCTGTATTATACACTAAAATGAGGATTTTATAGAATTGCTTGTTGAGAACTCTAGTGGTATACTTTTATGTCTTTCAGGGGAAGTTTATATATGTGGAATGTCAGCTCGAGAAGAGGTTCCAGATGATCCAGAGCAGGTAATACCAGTTCCAGAATCAATAAACGCGCTTAAGAGAGTGGCTGCTAGTGTATCAAGCCATTTAGTGGAGGGGGAAGCAGCTGTGACGGCTGAACAGGCGTGTATCCTACCTTGCTCTGAAGATGATGTGCCAATTATTGGGGAAGTTCCTGGTACAAAGAGCTGTTACGTGGCAACCGGACATAGTTGTTGGGGAATTCTTAATGGTCCGGCCACAGGTGCTGCTATGGCCGAACTCGTTCTGGATGGACAAGCTAGCATAGTTGATCTTAGCCAATTTACCCTCGCAAGATTTGCTAGTGTTCTGAACAAGTAAGATGATTTTATACAAATCATCTGAGGCAAGACGGCTTCATATACTCATCACCACAAAAGGCAAAAGGGTAATTGTTGAAATGAAGAACTTGTAGGCTGTTGTTTTAGCTCTAAATATAGCACAGATGTGTAGAGAAACAACTGGCCACAATACATTTTTCATTATCAGCACACAAGAAATAAACGGTCTAGACAAAATCAATATGTACTGTTGTCGAGGAGAGTATTCAATTAGTTGGATGTACTACCTCCGTCTCAAATTATCTATCAAAATTTTCTTGTACACGTCCCTTAAGAAAACTTAATTAGGATGAGATTTTGACTACTTTACCCTTATTCATGTCTTAATATTCAATTTTTCTTCATTGGTATTTGAGCAAAGTTATCCACAATTGAGGTGTTAGTAGTCTTCAAGTATAATTATTTTTAAGGGTAAAAAAAGAAAAAAATAATCAATTTTGTCTTGAACTTTTAAAATGACAAATAATTTGAGACAATTATTTTTAGTAACCACGACTGATATTATGAGACGAAGGGAGTAGTCATTAAGAAAAATATTATCTTGTAAGGTAGCATCTACACAGGTATAAGGGTGATTTTAGGCCTTCTTGGCCTTTTACAATGTTGAATTTAAGAAAATATCTTTTTTAGATCTCTTACGTGTAAATGAAAGATCTCTTACGTGTAAAAGTAAATCTCCCACGTGTAAAAAAAGAGGTAGGGTCATAAAACTAAAAACAAGTTTGTAAAAGGCCAAAAAACCAATTGACCCGGAAAAAAAAAGCTATAAACCCTGCCAGCCAGAAAGTTCTTAAGAACGAGAAAGCCAACTAAAAGGCTACTCCAAAGAGTGCTTGGGATTCAAACCTGTATGCTAAAGCAATTTTTTCAGCTGCTTTTCTGCTACACTAGAAGTTTTTCTTTACTCTATTTGAACATTTTAATTTTCCGAAAGGGATTAATTGAACTCCTTTTGACAATATCTGAGCAGTGTTACTTTTCTTATCCACGTTCTCTTGTAATTTCACCAGATATTGGGAAATCTTGAGTACCCCTCCACTAATAGTGGGCTTTTGTGTCTTTTGCGGGTAAATATTTTGCTAAATCTGATATGCTCATTACTGATTGTCTAGTCTTTACACCTTTTTCCTGGCGATTAATATGAATTAGTCGAGAGGACAGAAGAATATACTCTATATTGTTTCTTGAGTTTGATCGAGCTTGGATGTTATGAACAATAATTTCTGATGCTGCACTAGTAATGTAGTGCAAATTGAACGTAAGTATGGTCTAGTAATTTATGAAGCGGGATGTTAACTATGAGAAATTAGGGTTTGTTTTAGTAGAGACAAAGAACACTTCAGTGATTCCGTTCCTATTTGCCTAATTTTCTTTCTATCGGCCCAAATCTTGATAAGCATAGTTTATCCGTGAGAGTGAAGTTTTCCCATAAAAAGAAAAAAAACTAATTTGCACAAAAGAGTTGTTTTTGGATCAGCCGAAAGCCTAAAAAGAGTTTTATAAGGTTAAAAGGTTCGTTGGGGGCCTTAGGCTATGTTATAATAGCTCGAAACACTTGTCCTGGATCGACTTCCAGATTATAATTATTGTAGTAAATAACTAAAGAAAACATATAGGCAGGAGATAGAAAAATAGAAAAAATGGAATTCAACAAGGACTCTGACCCAAAGGCAATGTCATTCCTGTGGATAATGAGTTCTGTTTCTCTTATACTGAGGTTCCGGTGAGAATGAACTGATGATACCACTGTCCGTGAATCACTACAGCTATTTCTAACTTGTAACGACCCGACCGTTTATTTGAGAATTTACATCCCGTTCGGTGGCTCAAGGTCTCGAGAAGCTTTGTATTATGTGTTATGACTTGTGTGTATGATCAAGTTCGGTTTTCGGATGATTCGAGATCTATTTGGAAGAAGGATTCCTGTTTTAGAAGCTTAAGCGGTAAGAGTTGACCGGAGTTTTGACTTTTGTGTAGACAACTCCGAAATGGCATTTTGATGGTTCCAATAGTTTCGTATGGTGATTTTGGACTTAGGCGTGCGTCCGGATTTGGATTTGGAGGTCCGTAGGATAATTTGAAGCATTTCGGCGAAAATTGAAAAGTTGAAATTTTGGAAGGTTGAGAGGTTTGACCGGGAGTTGACTTCGGTGATATCAGGCTCGGACTTGCGATTCCGAGAGTTGGATTAGCTCCGTTATGTCATTTGGGACTTGTATGTAAAATTATGTCGCAGGTGCGATCAGGCCTGGGCAGACTCTATATTGTCGAGGGTTTTTGAGGATTTATTCATTTTTGGAGTTGTAGACCTTGGCTTTGGGAGATATTTCGTGGGTTTTTCAAGCAATTCATTGGGGTAAGTGTTCTTTACCCGAATCTTATTATATTTCATGAATCCATTGTTATCTTCATCATTTAATTAGTGAATTAAGTTGGAAATTTGGGAAAAATTTGTAAAAATCTTCCAAAATGTAAAATGAGGATTTGAAGGGCGATTCGATATCGGAAATTGATAATTTTAATATGGTTGAACTCGTCTCGGAATGGGTGTTCGAATTTTGTGAATTTTATCAGGTTCCGAGATGCGGACCCAGGGGTTGACTTTTGGATTGACTTTTTAGTTTTTGTTAAAGATTGAAGCTTTATTATCCGGAATTGTTTCCTATGCGTTTTATTTATGATTTGAAGCTATTTTGGCTAGATTTGAACCGTTCGGAGGTTGTTTCACTCGAAAAGGTCATTTTAGAGTAACGGTCAAGCTTTTTTGAGGTAAGTATCTTGCCTAACTTTGTGGGAGGAACTACCCCTTAGGATTTAAGTCATTTGTGCTAATTGTGTCATGTGAAGCGTGTACGCGAGGTAACGAGTACGTACTCGGGCTTATTTATAAAAATTTGACTGTTTAGGGCTCTTAGGTTCTTATGTTCATTAGATGTGAAGTTGTTTTAGCATGTTAAATCCCCCATTTACTAAATTTACCGTTATATGTCTTATTTGGAATTGATTGACTCATGTTTTACCCTTGTTTCCAATTAAACTCTTATGTGCCTTAATTGAAGCTGTTGCCTCTTTATTGCCTTGTTGTCTTTTCCGTAGTTGCTTAACCTTAATTGAAGTTATTATTATTTTTTCAGTAATTGCTTAACCTTAATTGAAGTTATTATTATTTCTTTCGAAATTGCTTAGCCTTAATTGAAGTTTTGTTATCCCGTTTATTGTTGATATATTCTTATTTGGTGTCATTGATTCATGTTATCTCTCTTATCGTCGAATTGCACTTTTGTGGAATCATTGTTACACATTATCTCTCCCTTGTTGAGCTATTCTTGTTGAGACCATTATTACCTGTTGTGTCTTTCTTTGTGAGCTCGTTCTACTGTTTCTTTGTGTTTTGAAGTTCCCGAGTTGATTTACTTTCTGGATCCTCGTGTTATTGTTATTGTTGTTGCTGTTGTATTCAGTGTTGTTGGGCCGAGAGCTATGCGTGATTGAGAAAATATTGTGGCATATGAGCACATATTGTGAAAATCATTTTATTGAGTTGTTATGTTTTGGCACATGTGTTATTGTTGGGAGGATTGTTCGGGTGTTTGCACGAGGTTTCTGCCGTACTGTTGTTACTATTGATACGCATGCGGTGGTATAAGGTATGGGTGTTGAAATACATGCGGTGAGTATGGGTGTTCATAAAAATCCGAAAAACCCAACCAAACCGACTAAAAAACCGATACTTTTTCGGTTTGGTTTGGTTTTTGTTTTGAATTTTAAAAACTGACCATATTTGGTTTGATTTTGGTTTTAATAAAAAAATAACCGAAAAAACCGAACCAAACTGAATATAGAAGTAGCTATTTAAAATTTATCATTATACCTATATATATGTATATTTTTATACAAAGTTTCTAAAAAATTATGTTACAGTTTAGTAGTTTGCACTTTTAGTCTAGTTTTTTACTATTATAATAATCTAGTTCTTTGCCTTTACATTCTAGTTTGATTAGTAGTTTTATTTTGCTAAGTACAAGTATTTATTTCATGTTAAAAATAATTTATTTTTAATTGAGTTCTAAAATTATTCATCACTATTTGGTTCAATTATCATCAATATATCTTGGTAAATGATAGATTTCTCAAAGAGCAATTGGTTTGATAGTGTTATGTTGAAAATGTAGTCACAGAAATATGTATTTGGCAGTGTATATCTCATATTTAAGAAAAAACCGATAAATAACCGAAAAAACCGAAAAACCAATAAAAACCGAATCGATAAAAATCTGACTTAATTGGTTTGGTTTGGTTCCAATATTTGAAAAATCAACTCACTAGGTTTGAGTTCTTTTTAGGGAATAACCGATCCAAACCGGATCATGAACACCCCTAGCGGTGATATAAGGTGGGCTTGATACGCGTGGCTAGTAGAGGAACTACTAGAAGTCATTTGGTGTGATAAGGTGGCTAAAACATGGGGTGCTAATTTGCAAAAAGTGATTTTCAAAACTAAATGTAAAGGCTCCTTCGGTGATATAAGGAAAGATCGTGATTCATTTTGTGATTTGAGACTACGAGGCGGTACCTCGGTAATGGCTCTTATTGATATTTCCTCATTCTTTTGGCACTTGTCTTCGATTGTTGTTTTCCTTAGCATACTATTAATTATCTCTCTCCGTGTTGCACTATTTGCTTAGTTCTGTGTAGCTAATCTTGTTGTACTATTCGTTGTTTCAATTTCATTACTGTCTTTATTACACTGTACATTTTGTGGTGATCGTTTCTTATGTGCCATTCATTGTCTCTATTCTTACTTGTTGACTTGAAATGTGGTAGAACACTTGTACAAGCATACACGTAAATAAATCACCATATCGGTCTAAGAAGATGAATCCTGATATTTTGACCATTTACATGTACTCCCCTGTACTTGCCTTATGTGTGAGAGTTATCCTGTTGGCATGTGAGTTGTCCGTGCAGTCATGAATCAATATATTTATTGGCACGTGAGTGGTCCGTGCAGATATTAAATATTGTCACTCCCTTGGCACGGTGAGTCGTCCGTGCTGTTATGAATTGTAATGTGGGCACAAGATGCCAAGTGATTAGGGTTCATGAATTGAGACCCGTGATTTGTGATTTTGAGGTTTGGTACCTCGTGAAAATTCTTGGATAAACATGGTATGAAAGCGGTTGTTTCTATTGAGTTGTCACTTGTTTTTCCTTTATTTGGTTTCACCGAATTTGAAGTGTGTACAACTTACTCTATAGTGTTATTACCTGTTGTGTCTCGTTGCTAACTGTTGTTTTTAGTCCTTATTACAAGT